CCCCAAAACCCCAAAACCCCAAAACCCCATAACCAATAAAATGCTAGTAAACATGCATAGAATAAGTTGAATAAATTTTACTATTACTTCAAATTATATAAGTTTTCATAATAAATCATGATGTAATATCTCTACCCTTCTAGAGTATCTCATCTTTTCTTAAGTTCAGGCTATTTTTATTTAGCATTTTTAAGATGATTTGGACTGCTCTAATCTCGATGACTGTTTTCCTAACTTTAAATACTATTCTCTAGATTAAGATTTGATTTAAATCCCTTTCCAGTTGTACTGTCAATTTTTTTCTTCGAAGCTGGATCGTTGTTGAAGCCGCTCTTCTTTTTCTCGTATTTTGAGATTTGATCTTTCAAAAACTTTTGTCTCTAAGCATGATTCCCAAATTCTTCAGAAAGCCCAGGAGATTAAATTGAGGCGTTATATCTACTGCTATCTCTGTGTAGTTTATTTGATTCAGAGCCAGTATTAATTATGCTATCAAGCATTTGAGTAAATTTTCTTCCATCCTAGGATTGATTATTGCTTGCTAGCACAAGTCTTATTTATGGTGATGGATTACCGCTATTTCTCAGACTGTTACCTACAAAAGGACTATCATTCCATGTCTCTCTATCTAACTTCAATTTTCTCGTAACTCTATCTGGAATCTCTATTTATCTACTCAAAGTTAAAGTGTCCTTTCTTCCTATAATTTTTGGAAGTCTTGGAGAGTCATCATGTTCAGGGGCTCTTCTGGTTTAATCTCCTCCTGTTTAGTAACCATCTTAGGCATTTACATTAATATTATCTCTGAAGTCAACTTCATCTAGCATATACTCTCCTACTAGTATCCTCTTTGGTTTTTTAGTTTCATCCATGAGTTTCTGAATAGAGCTCTCAAGTTTATCTCCTGCAGGAATGACTCTTCCTTTTTCATCATGCATTATTGAAGTGTTGAATCTTTGAGAATTTCTGGCAGTGTTAAAATACAGAACAGCCTCATCATAATTCATATCTTGCTTCTCAATTGGCTGTAACTCGTAATCTGTCAATGTAGTGTTGATAATCTTTTGCTTCTTTAACACTTATTTCTTCTTTTTTTCATCACACACAGATACGAAATAATAAGAGATTACTCCAACGATAACTAGGCCCATAATTGTTAAAACTCCATACTAAGGTTTTGGATCTATTATCTAAATTACTTACACTGTGGTCTCTGTTATATTACATGTTTTTATTCCATACAAATAATAGTATGCCCCTGGGCAAGTCACTGTAATATTAGGAGTTGGGGTAATTATAGTTTCATTTGCTTTGGGAGTAAATTGATAATATCTATAAGTAAAATTAATGGAAGGTGAATCATCATAGGCAACTACAACCATATAGTATATTTAATTGGCCCCTACAGTAAAATTAGAACCTGTATATTGATCTACTGTAGTTTGATTAGCTGCATTATTTGGAGATGTACCATTGTTTAAGTAGATATAAGTATTTTTATATGAGTTGATCATGATATTTAAATACGAGATATTTGAAGCGCTCCCATAATCACTGGGCTTAATTGCGTAATAGCATACATTTGATTTCTTGAAAGTAGAGGACGAGGATGCTTTTGTGATTGTTTCGTTCAAGATGATAGGAAGTTGAGAAGAAATGCCTCCACAGACTTTTGTTTCATAGGGGCAAGCAAAAAGTTTCATAGACGTTGTATTCACATTGTTGCTGCATACATTTCTCTTGCATTGTCTAGTGGTATCAGTACTAGCACAGCAATATCCGCTTGTATCGACTGTATTATCTTTGCAAACAAAATTTGTAGTTAATGTTGACAAACAAGTTGTACATTAAGCAGCTGTAGTTATGTCTTAAGTTTCAGAGTAGCCTATTGATATCAAAGCTACCAGCAGTGTAACAAATCGACGCATTAAAATTTTAGTTTACTAGAATAATCCAATTAATTTATTTGATATAATTAATATTTCTGGCACCATACTCAAACAAGTATAAAACTTTGATTAATTTAATGAAATATATAGCCAGTTAGTAAATTAGTTAGTTGTTCATCACAGTTAGATCATTTTATTTATCTTCTTTCGATTTTACTATTCCTTTAACAGATTCCAATTTCTGGGGTTTTGGGGTTTTGGGGTTTTGGGG